AGGGAGGCATTCTTGATCTGAAGACTAAAGGAGATGAATAGACAGCTCCAAGCTTGAATTCAGAAGTGATAAAAGAATTTATATACATATATTATTAATATTATAGCAATTTTGTATGTTAATTATAAAAATTACATCTGTAATAATAATTTTCATTTATGGCCATTATGACATATCCTTGTTATTGAGATATGAATGAAATTAACACATCCAAAACCTTTAAATTTCCGGTACAAAACGAATATAGTCACTGAACTAACATTTTCGATATCTTTAACCAAGATCTTCATCAGGTTCGTTGTCATTCTAAAAAATGGAGTGTTGAGAATATAGAACGTTTTTGAATACAAAATTCAATCTTCTCCAGTATGTAATAAATAGCAAATATTTTTAAATAATTAAGTAGACAGAAGTCTTCCATAATAATAATGTAGTCCATCTTCCAAGGAATAATATATAATTACCAGTGCGGAGACTCATCACAAATATAGTGCCACGCATAAGATATTACATTACTATCTTTGAAATTTATACAAATCCCCGACTTGGTTCCTTTGTAAATCTCAAGAGTTTCTAAGGCCCTGATGTGGTCGGTTTTGAATGATTTTTTTATAAGACTGGTGCTATTTAAGTCGGCTGTTATATTTGAGTCTGTGGCATATGTTGACAGGGCGGTGGTGTGTCTTATTTTGTCGATGTCATATTTATGTTCAGCAATCCTTTTTGAACAGACCTTTTGGTGGATCCAATGTAGACAAGATGACTTTGGAACCTGTGATCCCTTATCGGAATCCCTTACTGGGATTGAGAACACAAACTATTTACTCACCTGTGATCCCTTATCCCTTATCGGGATAAGGGATCACAGGCGAGTAAATAGTTTATGTTCTCGAGTATATCGAGTAAATAGTTTATTTTCTCGAGCATATCAAGTAAATAGTTTATGTTCTCGAGTATATCAATTTTGTGTCCTTTGATGTGCCCTTCGCGTCTGAGAAACATGAAGGACACACTGGATAATTTAAAAGCACCTGATGAAGATCTTGGTTAAAGATCGAAAACGTTAGTTCAGTGACTATATTCATTTTATACCGGAAATTTAAAGGTTTTGGATGTGTTAATTTTATATGTACCAGTATTTATTAGTAAATGTTGAGATATGAATGATAATTTTGCCAGGTTGTTTACTATAATATCTATAAATAAGAAATTAAATTTATGAATGTCCACATATCTTAAATTCCATTTATACTGTCAAAATAATGTGGCAAAATATGTCAAAAACTTTCTTACCTCAACTCCAAATTTGTAAAAGAAATAATTAAACATAAACTTTATGCACTCAAGAACACCACAATCTGCATGCTCTCTTTTAATTTTTGGAAACATAATACCAGGTTTTGGCTCAGGTTCTCCATTTTGGTACCTAGATACTTTTTGTCGTATTTTCACAACAGCTTGAAAGGTTAGAACAAAAAGTAATCCAATATAGCCCTGAAAATTAAAATACAGTAATTTAACTTATCTGCTAATGCTGAACTTAATAAATTTAAATCTAAAAATCACATTTGAAAAATAAATAAATTACCTTGCAGTAATTTGAAAGGTTATTTGTTTTTTGAAATCCAATCCACAACATATTATCTATTGGCTGATTAGCTTTTAAAAATTCACTGGATGTATTTGACATACTCTGAAAATTTGAATTTATTTTTCATAAATTAAAATCAACAATGTTATAAAACATAGTTATAATTTTCTTCAGAAACTTATTTACAACTATAAATTAAACTAAGAGAATACATGCTAAAAGTGAAATAGACTGATGTATTTTAATAAAATTGAAAACACAAAATATGTCTACAAAATATTGATTAATAGAATTAATAAAATCAATCATTCAGAAAGAAAAAAAAAAAAAAAACAATTAATACCTATTTATTGTATTGTATTAATTTATTAAATAGTCAAGAAAGTTGTAATCGTAATATAGTGGGTGATTGGTTAATAAACATAATCCATTCCAAGATTTTGTTCGCTATCTGAATTGTTTGTTAACCAATTATCGATTTAATATAGGCTTTTATGGGAATTTGATTAATTCGTTCTGGAAACTCCAAAAAATAAAAAAATATCTACTTTCTTACTACATTTATTTATATGAAACAATAAAAATACATATATACACAGTCTTGCATTTTTATTAGTTGTGTTTTTTCTGTTTGTAGGGGTTAGTAGCATTGTAATTGTAGAGATCCCCAAGCCTATTAACCTCAATCTAGTTTGGATGCCATTCTAAGATTGTTCTTCTGACATCCTCCCACTTCTTCAAAAGATCTTTTAATAGCAGATGTTGGCATTGGTCCTCTTTCATCTTCCTCTTCCTCTTCAGAAGAAAACATCTCACTGAGTTTCTTGGAGTTCTTCTGTCATCACATTGGTTTCAGGTTCCATTATGAGCTCTTCAAAGCTCTATATTTCTCAGATGTAATTTTCATTACTCCTTTAGCTGCTTGAGTCTTCTTGACATATCTTTCTTAGCTAAGGTTGTGCCTACTGTAGACCTGTTCAAGCCATACTGCCTAGCAACATCAGACATCTGCCCACTCTCTACCTTGACTATTATCTCTTTCTTGGTTTTCTATAGTGAGCATAGTTCTTGAAATTCCACTCTTAGGCTCCATAATATTATCAGTTTCTTTTTTAAATAAAAAGTTCAGAAAAGCACTTACAAAAATTCAGAGAACAGAAATCAACTAGTGCACAAAATAAATATGTAAATGCAAGGCTCAGATGAAATTCGAATTTTGGTATTAAAATGTTAATGAATATCCGATGTAACAGTTAAACTCTCATCTTTCTTACATAAATAAAAACTGACATAAAACTTAACGAGTACCTGCCAGACAGTCTTGCAAAGACTATAAAAAATTATTTGTCAGAAAGGTAAACAAAAGGCTGAAATTACAACAGAGAGTTTCAAAGTTCAGAAGAATACTATCATATCGGTATTGAGTTGAGCATCAATGTTGACGTCTTCAGAGTTCCAGAAGATTTCAAATCGTCACCTAAAGACAAGGGAAGAACAGTCGGTATTCACTATTTTACATTGCTTCTTTTTGTGTTTGTTCTATAAAGTGTTTGTTATCCAAACATAAAAATCTTTCACAAAAGCGTTCGTTATCCAATTTGTTCTCAGTCCGAACTGTTCATTAACTGATCACCCAATATATAAGGAATCAGTTTCCATACAAAAAAAATCAGTATTTTAATAGACATGCACAATTTGAGATTACTGAATGTGATAGACATTCCTAAGAAAAAAAATTAAACATATATTGATATATTTATGGTAAGATATTGTATTAGCAATAACTAAAATACAGAATATAAAAATCAATGAGAAATTATTTATTATGGCATTGTCAAAATGCTAGCCTGCAATTTTTAATCATATTTTTTTAATTTATTTAATTTAAAATATATGCTCTTTTCGTCAAATTAGTAGTCTTTCCCCTATACATCATACTTTCCTGCTAGCAATAGAGTCATGCAGGTCATCTATCTAACTCCTTTCAGGGGAAAATATTTGAATTGAAATATATTGACTTACAGTGCAAATCATAAGTTTGCATATAGTTAATCAGGGCCTCCTGTTCCTAAGCTTCCCCATATCTGGTCTCAACTTTCATCTATCTAACACTGTTCTTGAGATTAAGAAAGGAAAGACAACTAGACAGATAGACAACAGTGAGAATTTATAGGTCTACAATTTTTTCAAGTTGCAGTCCAATAATATTCTCAAATTAAAAATTTGTAATTTTCATGAAATATAATACAGTGAAACCAGGTTAACTCAAATTGGTCAGAGGAAAAAAATTTGGACTTTGAGTTGAAAAGTTTTGAGTTACAAAGATTTGGCTAAAAATCAAGATTTTGTGCAACAGTTTATTGATGCATAATAAACTATCCATACAATATTACCATGGGTTATATTATGTAGAATGATTGCATCAATGATAACCTCTTGGTGTTGTCCAGAAACTCAAAAATGCTTAATCGAATGGTTAAATAAGCTACTGAGAAATGATTTCCCAAATGGTTGATCCAGTCACTTCTAAGTGTTTAGTAAGGATTTTTTTTTAATTGTGATATTTTGCATCTAAAATTGATGATCTTTTTATTTTGTTTTATCACAAACATACCATTCTTTATAATTGTTGTATTTATAAAATTTTGCCCCACCAAGTTAGAAATTTTTACAGAATCAAATTACAATCATTTTTTAAATTAATTTATCAAAAATCCATTTATGTATTATATCAACTAGTAGGAGAAACCCATCAGCAATCAAATAAGACAAAAGAAAAAAAAAATGTTTATTAGTTTATTCAATAGATGGATGTTAATTACAGTAGAGCATTAATTATCTGAATATTGATCAACTGAAATGTTAATTAACCAAAAGCTTTCCAGTTGGCAAATTTAAATTTCCACTAGTGCTGTGGCACTGCAATCTTTGGCTATGTCTTGGGCAACTCCATTATTATTTTAGTTGGTGTGCGTGTTATAGCAGGCAGCACTGGCATGACCATGAGAAGGTACTTAAAGATGTGCCAGGATTTGAACAAATTTCAACATGGGATAGGTTAATATATTTTTTTGTACATAATCGGTTATCCAAGAAATCGATTTTCTGAACAATCCCAGTCCCCAATTGATTTGAATAATCAATGCTCTACTGTATTTCATGTAATGGAAAATGGAAATTCAGGAGAGTTTATGAAAATGTATCAAAATCCCATTTGAGTTAAATAGTTCAACAAATTCAAGTTAACCAGTTTGATTTAACATGTAAATCTAAACAATCAGGAAAAGAAATGACTTTGAATAAACAACTTCAGTTATCCCAGTTCAAATTAACCAAGTCTATATGCTTTTCATACCTGTCAAATATCAAAAATAAACATCAGTAACAATTTTATTTAAGTTGTATCACTTCCCATTACCTTACTTATATCATAGTTAATCAATTCATAAGGATTCAAATCACATTGGTACGATAAAAAGAAAATCTCCGAAATTTTTAAAATTATTGTGAATACTAATTTTAAAAAATAATCTTTAAATAGATTTCATTATTATTTTAAATATTCCATTTGAAACTATTTTAATCCATTTACATTTAGATCATATTAGGGTTACACTTTCTAAATACACAAAGTACTCCTATAACCTGTAAATTAACAGAATTAATCAACACTAAGAATATAACATGAGGATAGAAATATAAATAAAACTAAAAAGACATAGATTGTCATAAACCACAACATAGTCTTATAAGGTCTTGAAAACTCAAACCTATTCATGCACTAGGCTGTCTGTATCTATAGTGTTAATACAATTAGCTTTCCTTGGAGATTTATAGATTTACTCTTTAGTGTTAAATAGTTGTTGATGGAACATAACAAAGTAGCATCCTGTAAATCTCTTGTACATAGTGTTGCCACCAGGCCAGTTTTCACCTGGACAAGCCGGTTTTTAAATTCATGGTCCGGATTAATTATTAATTTGTCTGGTTTTCGTAGAAATTGTGAAACTGTAATAAAACAAATTAAATTTATAAAAATATTTGCGAGTATTTTATTTTAACAATTAAAGACTAACTTCATACCCCACCCAAACTCCTCCTTATCCATAGGCTGAGTGACAGAAAATGTACTTTTAAAATTCTAACTTGCAAATATCTCTGGCAAATATTAATTTTGTTCCAACACGAGTCCATAACTGGTTTAAAACTGACATGCGCATTGTTCAGTTCTTGGCTTTAAAATGACATTGCACATGCCTCATACAGTTTCAAATTCAAACCAGTTAGGGACTTGGGTGTTAGAATAAAAACCTATTGTAAAGCAAATGAGACAGTTTCAGTTTACAAGTTTATAATTTCTATTTTAATACTGACTTTTTAAATTTTAATTAATATAAATTTCTGACTCTGTCTGGGCAGCAATTTTGAAGAGTTGGAACTTTTGCTTCTTACACCTGGAGTAGAGGTGTAAGAAGCAAAAGTCATAGATGAAAAGGCCTTTCCTAGTCTATTCATAAAATGAACTAATTGGAGCTCTAGGAAAACCTGTATTAATGCTATAGATGCAGAAAGCATCTCTAATGTCTAATGCATGGAAAGTTTTATATGAGAAAGCTTTCTGACTTAACAGGATTGTATTTTATAGTTTACAAAAATCTATGCCTTTATATTTGTACACCTTGTGTTTAACTTTTAATATTGGTTAATTTTATTATATTTATAAGTTATAGGAGTATTTTCTATATTCATAAAATGTATTTTTAATATTTTTAATATTCTATATTCCAAATTTTTGTATAAGTTTATTCTAAGATAATATTCTGTATTTTTTGAATTTTGAATTTGTTTTTCTTCCAATTACATATTTTTAACATCTAGTATAGGTTCTCTAATGTAGGACTTGTAAAATTTACTGGAAGTATAAAATGTTTATTTATGATTTTAAATTGTATGTTTAATTAGTAGTAATTTTAATTAAAGCAAGCAACATTTTTTGCATGATAACATCCAAAAGTCAAATATAAAAAAATTGGAAAATTAAATCCATTTTTATTCAAAAATGATTAAATTTTCAAGATTATGGTTAATATTTGAAAAGGAAATCCAAAATTAAAGCCAAAAATAGCAACAACATTAGAATATTTTTAAAACTATTAGTTTTTAAAATTTACATACTGTACAGTTTGAATACCATCCACTTGAATTCATAGACTGTAACTGGTAAATCATTTTAGAAAGAAATAATAGAGCTGCCCACACAGCACAACAATGAGATATGAATGAATGTATAGATCTGAATGGTAATGCAATAATAGCTAAGACCACAAAAATGAAATGTACAGCACATACCTGAAAATAGAAATTTAACTTGTATAATTATTACAATATGTAAAAATGTTTTCTAAAACATTTATAATCTACATATTTTCTCTCATTAAAATTTCACATTGTATGTAAATACTTACATCATATGTAGAAAGGCAAACAACAGAAAACATTACTATTTTAATCATGTGAATTTCTAAAAATCTCCAGACAAGTTCATAAATATATAATGCAAATTTTAAAATTTTCTTAAACATAATAACAACTCTTTTTGAAAGCTCTGAAAATGTAAAATTTTAAAAATAATTTAATAAAATAATTTCTTTTGGATATAATAAATAAAATAAATAACTCAATATTCACCGCCTTTTGAAGATTCTCCAATTAGAGATTTTCTTCTATTAGAATAAGTAATTTCTTTTTTAACTGTAGGAGATGACTGTTCTGATGCAACTACAGTTGGCACTTCACTTTTGGGAGTAGATTCAATAGTCACATCATCAGGATGTATTGTGATACATGTTGCCTCATCTTCCCCTACTTGTGGATTTAATTTATCAATTTCTGCTGTTTTATTGTCTTCATTTTCAACTGGTCTAAAAAATTTCCAATTATTATTAATTAATTATTTTATTTTAGCTTAAATATTATAATAAACCAAATAAATGACTATTACATTAATTTTATTTGTTAAATTATGATTTTAAAAATAAAATCAACTGTAGTATAATGCAAATTTAAAAATTTATTAATGAAACACATTTTTTGATTATTAAAATGATCCAAAAACATGTTTCATTAATAATTAAAAACATGAAAAAGTAATAATTAAATAATAAAGTCAGATTTATCATCAGGCTATAACTTGGTAATTGTCCCCAGTCAGTGTGGTGAGTAATTTACATGATTATATGTTTCAAATTAATTGGTTTAGAAGCAAAGATTGAATGGAGTACAGGTAGTGTAACTGACAATGCATTTGCATAGTAAGAAGTTGAGCATTCAAGTTTTGTTCCAGATTAATCTTCCAGAATATTTTAAATTAATTAATTTAATTTTAATTATTATATTAAATACAAGATGGCAACTTAATTACCTATTATTAGTCCAAATTATGGAATATTCCAATTAGCCATGCTAAAGCCAAATTCATTATCAGGCTATACCTTTTAATTATTAATGTAAGATTGTTCCCACCAGTGGCCAAGTGGTCTTCATACCCTGAACCTTGGGAGTTCGGTTGTGGGTTTGCACCTTGCTCGGATAAGCTGGCCACGTGGAGTTTTCTGGGTTTTCTCCACGTCTGTAATGCCTAAATAGGGGCCACTTTCCTTAAAAAGACTTCCCGAAAGACATTCTCCTAATCAAATTGCCCAAGTGTTGCATTGCCATAACTTATGCATTAATTATTTATAAATTAGAAAACTACACAGGATTTTAAGTATAAATACATAAACTAAATTTAATATTAAAAATATATAAACAACATACCTGAAGTCTAAATTACTTATTAAAAGAAATTCTTTATGAAAATAATGAAGTTGTATAATAGTGATGATTAGAAAGAAAGTAGGAGTGAGCAATTTAAGAAATAATGGCCATGGGTCAGAACCATATTTTTCCAATCCAATATCATACTGTCTGAAAATATAAAAATAAATTTTAAAATTTATTATAAAGATAATAAAACAATACTTTTTAAAATAAAATTTATAAAAAATTTTGTTTAAAAACTATTTTGCAAAGAAACAATTTATCCAAATTTCCAAACATTCATAAAATATTTTATAAGATTAAACACTAAAAAAATTAAAACTAAAATTCAAGGTACCATAATTTCCTGCATATAATCTGCAGCAGTGTACACCACACAAAACGGCTAAAGTGAAAATACAAAAATTGCATATCTTTCACTGCCATATATCCCATTTCTTTGAAGTTGACATTAAAAACATTGCTCTTTATCTTCATATAGTTTAGAATGAATTGTCTCATTCTATTTTTTCCCATTTCTTTCATTTTATTTATGTTAATAAATCATTGTACAGTTGATCCCCCTATAACGCGGGTTCATATAATGCGGATTTGTACATAGCAATGAAAAAATTGCGACGAACGTATTCATATAAAGACGTAAAATGTGGTAAAACGTCATCACCAACTTGTGTTGCGACAGGACTGGTCGAATCTGGACTAATAGTGGATGAGCAACCGAACTAGTTACACGCTATGGAAAGTTTAGGCGGGTAAGTTGAGTTTACTATCATCTGTACAGTATATAAATTAGGTACTGTAAGTCTAATATAGTACTGTAATTTTATACATTTCTTGTGAAAAAAACATTTCTTATTCAATGTCCATAAAAATTATATTTATATTAATGTTGTCTCCAAAGTTCAGCAAATTTTTTGCAGAAAAATAACTTATCAGAAAAAGCACTCGCCGTTCGATGTGCCGTTCCGTGACAAAAACAAGCTTAAGCAATGGCATCATCGAATGGTGCACACTCAGTAAGTAATGCTACAATTTTTTGTTTATAGCATAGTTTATATGGATTATTTCTAAAAAATTATACGTGTTTTGGAAATGTTGAGTCAAATTAGTTTAGAATCAATTACTTTTATGGAAGAAAACCTTTCAAACAGCCGTAGTCCGTAAACTGCATACATGCTGGGCTGTGATTGGCTCATGTATTTAAGGACTCGTAGAACGTGAATTTCATAAAAAGCAGAACATATCTACCATGTTATGGAGGGGTCGACTGTATATATAATTATATCAATAAAATGAGTGAAATGAAAATGAAGCACTTAAGATTGGACAGTCTAAACTGCATTAAATATTGAAAATAGTAATAAAAATTAAGTCTGTTCATCCAAAAATGAGCTATCTTATATAATAAACACCTGATAAATTGTAGCTGTCAAACCATCCAACAGGATGTTAAAATTTCGTTATTTATTCAATTACTGTTTAAAATGCTGGTCTAAGTTAAGCTAATGCTGGCCTAAGATGGAGTAAAAATGTTCCTTGTGTAAAGTATAATGAACTTTGGTTTCCAGAGAAATCAATTTCACTTCTTAATTGTTGGCATTATCATTCAGAGCTAGAGTCTTACCTTAACTCAAAAATAATTTTTGAAATAGTACTAAAATATTGGTGCTTCTGGTGTGGATGACTGGAAAAAACTGTAGTGGATTTGTAATGAATGAGAATTATTGGGTTGTTCGGAAAGTAAGTTCGTTTTTTTTCCCGTGGAAAAAACCGCAATATTCTTATGATAAATAAATATTTTATTGAATTATATGTTGACCATTTTGGTCAAATACCTGTTGTCATCGTTTCTGGTAGTAGCACGATTTCACATTCATAAAAGTTTTGATTGTTGCTTACAAAAAACCGATCCAAGTGATTTTTGACATTGTCATTTCAAGTAAATGTCTTACAGTTAAAAAAAATTGTACAGACCGGAACAAGTAATAATCTGAGTGTGCTCGATCTGGAGAATAAGGTTGGTGTGATAGCACGTTCCATCTAAGTTATAACAGTTTCTGACGAGTTACCAACTTGTGTGAAATTTGACATTATTATGGTAAAACACTACTGCTGTTTTTTTATCAATTCTGGCTGGCTTTTTCTGTTTGATGATATTATGCAATTTGTTTACTCAAATGCAGTACACTTTCGAATCAATTGTTAAGTTGTCTGGTAAAAGCTCCAAAAAAAAATTTTCTTAATATCCCACCAAATAGAGCATTTCTCTTTAAAAACTCGTGGAATTCATATATCGAGCTTTGAAACGAAACCAATTTGTTTTAAGTACTCATAAACAGTTAAATTTGACAAATTTAATCTCTTAGTGATTTCACGTGTTGTTATTCCGCAGTTTGCTTCAATCAGTACTTTTATTTCGTTTTCATTGGCTTCAATTGGCCATCCATAACGTGGTGTATCTTCAATACTGAAATTGCGAGAATGAAATTTTGTAAACCAGTTTTGGCACTGTCATTCTGTCAACACATCTCCACCATACGTCACACGATTTTTTTCTTGCTTGAACGGCATTTTTATTTTTTGGTAATAAAAAAGCAAAATATGCCGAAGATGCTGCTTTCAATCTTCCATATTTGATGGGACACAAAAAATAAACAATTGCACGAAATCAAACAAAATTTTTTACAAATAAGCAATAAAATGCTAGCTGTCAAAATATATAATGACAATACAGTTTAGAACGAAAATGGCGGGAAAAACACCACTAATCCGTCTAGTGGTAAAAAAAACGAACTTACTTTCCGAACAACCCAATATTTAAAATTATTTTAGTAGTTTGAAAGCTTGGATTAGGCAGATATAAATTAATACATTAATCAGCATCATAACTAATGTATTTATGTTGAGTGCACATAATAGTAATGTTCAGAGGGAATGAAAATTTATATAAATGAAATATCAACTATGTGATCCACAGTAAATAATTCATGATAATTCTTATTTTGCTTTCTTCTCATTTTTTGTTTCACTTTTTTTCAGTTAGTTTTCAATTTTTGCAGCTTATCCTTGTTGTTGAATTCACTAACATGAATTCTGATTATTTTAAACTATATATAAACATTAATTACTATAAAATAAATTTCTACAATGTACAGTTTAAAAATGAAGCAAATAAGTTAAAATGACAATGATATCATCTTTGGTTTCAATTTTGTTAATAAAGTGGTAGAAAGTAATGCTGTTGTAAACAAAATGAAACATTACAAGGTCAAGCAATGGATATTTACAGCTATGGTATATAAGTATTTTAATCATAGAAATTCACTTTACAGCAATACAAAGAGCAAGAGTTTAATGTCTATCATTATTATAATTATTGAATCATTTGTCTTAATTGTTAACTAGGCTTACTAACCACTAATCTAAAATGATTCTGAAAAGTTCAGTTTTCATTAGACAGACTATAATTATATAATAATGATAAATGCTAAAATAAACTCAAAAAAAAAAAAATAATTAGAGAAAAATTTTAATTAGATAATATCTATATTACATTTAATGTATGAAGATCTACCTGGAATAAGTTTAGGATGGTATGATGGCCAATGTGGCTCTTAGCCAAAATGACTTGCTGGTACCCATGTAATATAAGTAAGTGGCAAAAAGAGTTACAGTTATTATCATTAGTGTTGAGTTTGCTAAGATGGTTGCACATAAACTATGACATCCAGTATACTGAGAGTTGATTGATTAGCTATTATTCATTGCATAGAATTAACTTATGATAAAACTGACAGTCAACTTCTTGGTTTTAGATTGTCTTATATAGAAAGTAAGGATTTATAGGAAATTTATCAGCTTTCTGCTAATTCCTTCCTTGCTGCTGCTTCATAAGGCATGCCTATATGACTGATAAATCCCAGAATAATGTGGAGATGAATATTTCAGTCACATAAAAAATATTTCATGATTTCTGAAGACACTGTTAATAAGTTTAGCCAAAGGAAAAGCTTTTGGTGTTAGTGTTGCCACCTTTTCAAAATTGCTGACCCAAACAATAGGTTTCTTCCAATACAAGTCCCTGACTGGTTTGAATTTGAAACTGTACAATACATGCGCAGTGCCATTTTACAGCCAAAAACTGAACAATGTGCATGCCAGTTTTAAATCAGTTAGGGACTTGTGTTGGAACAAACCTAATACTTACCAGAGATATTTGCAAGCTAGAATTTTAAAAGTACATTTTTTGCCACTCTTAGCCTAGGGTAAGATGGGGTTTGGGTGGGGATGTGAAGTTAAAGTCATTAACCATTAAAATAAAATACTCACAAATATTTTTATAAATTTATTTTGTTTCATCATAATTTCATAATTTATATGAAAATTGGACAAATTAATAATTAATCTGAACCATAAATTTAAAAACAGCAAATCCAGGTAAAAATCAGCCTAGTGGCAACATTATTTGGTGAGGTCATAATTGCAATTTAAAACTGACAGATAACTTACACCATCTTTCAAATTTACTCTAAATCATAGATACCCCCATAGATGATTCTCAGGAAATTACAGTAATTTTTAAAAATGTATATACTGTGAATATTTGAAAGTTTAAATAAAGTTTACAACAAAATTTGATTGTTCAGAAATGCTATTATAAAAATATTTAAATGTTAATGAAATGCATTTTAATTTTGATCAACTTACAATTCTTTTGACACGTGTAAATATTCTATCCAGTACTTTTCAACATTTTGAAACTGGTAGGTATAAATTAAAATCAGGACTATCATAGAATAGACAATTACAGTGAGCCAAAATCCATACATGATGCGTCTCCAAATGTGATATGAAAACTATTAAAAATATATTAATAGTTAAGATTAGTTCATAAAAATCATTTATAATAAATATTTTAAATAAAACAGTAATATTAAAAGTGGCAATGTAAAACAGATACAGTGGAACCTCACTTAACAAGCATAATTTGTTTCAGAATCTTACTTGTAATGCAAAACACTCACTAAGCAAAACAATTTTTCCCATATAAATTAATGTAAATATAAAATACTAAAATATTTTATGTACAGTATAATGTTTATTCAAAGAAAATTATACAATATACATTGTTAAGGAGGGTGAATCATAATCATCTTTTCTTCTAGTGCAGAATGAACCGACCTGGAATGTGAATTTGATTAGCAGAAAACAAAAACCAAAAAAAATTGAAATTTAATTTGGAATTGGTCATTATACGAGGGCTATTTTTTAATAAGGTCTGTTTGTGAATGAGAGTGAGAATGACGCGCGACCACGGCAGTGCATAGGTGTGTCTGCTCTGAGAATGCTTTGCATGCGTTTAGACACCATTTGCACCATATTGTCTGTCTGTGTAAAAGTTTATAATGTTTAAGAAAATTGAGTCATCTGCCGACTGTGAGATACGATCTGTTATTCGATTCTTGAGTGCAAGAAACTTGGCAGCAGTGGAAAGTCACCATCAGGTTTGTGAAGTTTACAGTGATAATGCTACGAGTGACAGTAAAGTTCGAAAATGGGTGAGAATGTTCAAGGACGGGCAGGTTAATGTGCATGATGAGCCACGCCCTGGCCGACCTTCTCTAATTTCTGAAGATTTGGTTTGTAATGTGGATAACAAAATTTGAGAAGACTGATGATTCACGATTTCAATGTTACCAATTGAATTTCCACAGGTTTCAAGATCAGTTTTACATACCATTGTTTTGGAGAAACTGAATTATCAAAAATTGCATTCTCGGTAGGTTCCAAGGCTGCTTTCTGATGATCACAAAACAGAGAGTGGGCAGTGCTTTATCATTTTTGACTCAATACGATCAGGAATGACATGAATTGTTGGACTACATCATTACAGGAGATGAGACTTGGGTGTCTCATATGACTCCTGAGTCCAAGCAGTGGTGATATTCAGCGGGTTCACACAGGTTCAGCCGAACCCATTGTTAACATTTTCAAAGTTTTCTGAACCTTATTACACACACTTAACATTTCTCAGTAGTTTTGTTTCTTTTAAAAAATATATTAAAATATATATATTATACTCTGTAACACTACTAAACTAGAGCCTTATACCCCATTCACCTTGGTGCAACCTCCCTCAACCGTTTCAATCTCGACTGAAACGAGGTTCAATCGCGGTCGACTCAAGAGAGTTCTTGAAACTAGATCCAGCATAAGAGAGATCCCACAATCCCACGCATGCGAGAAAATACAAGATGGCTGCAGAACACATGTCATAATAAATATGTACAAAATAAACCATTTTGAACACTCTTTTTTATTATTTATAAAAATATATATATATATATAGTTCTGGCATAAAAAATGTTAAATTTTAACTGACTTAATTTTGTGAACACATCTTTTTTATTTATAGGGGTATCAGTTTTTGCACTAATGTTGCTAGTGTACCATTTGAGCAAAAAAAATTGTTAAGGAAAAATTTTCTGTTAGAGAACCCTTTGTTAAATATTTCGAATATCACCACTGAGTCCAAGCAACAGCCAATGGAATGAGACAGACATCTTCATCAACCAAAGTGAAAGCCAAACAGTCCATTTATTTATCAGATGAGACTTGGGTATCTCACATGACTCCTGAGTCCAAGCAACAGTCAATGGAATGGGTCACACATCTTTTCCAACCAAAGTGAAAGCCAAACAGTCCAATTATGGCAACTGTCCCAAAAGACAGTTGCCATAATTGGACTGTTTGGCTTTCACTTTGGTTGGAAAAGATGTGTGACCTTAAATCTCTTTCTTAATTATGGCAACTGTCCCAAAAGACAGTTGCCATAATTAAGAAAGAGATTTTTAGTGGATTTTATGCAAAAAGGCACAACAATCAATTCTAATGCATATTGTGTAACCTTGAGAAAATTCCGGAGTGCCATACAAAACAAGCAGTGTGGTCTACTGTCTTCCTGTGTGATGTTGCTCCATGACAGTACAAGGCCCCATGCTTCTGCACAAACACAAGGTCTAATCAGTTCTTTTGGATGGGAACAACTGGATCATCCACCTTACAGTCCAGACCTTGCACCCAGTGATTTTCATTTGTTTTGATGCTTAAAAGAGTTTTTTGATGGTCAACGGTTCAATGACGATGAAGAAGTGAAAACTGCAGTCATGGATTTGGCTTTTTCACAGATGGCAGATTTCTTTGAAGTCGAAATTCAAAAAATTGTTGAGCTGTATGACAAATGTTTGAACAAAAATGGAAATTATGTAGAATATGTGAAAAATATATTTTAATGATATTTACAGTATTTTTCTTCTTATTAAAAAATGGACCTTATTTAAAAAAATAGCCTTCGTATTTAATATGAGAATTTGGCATATCATTTGGCATGTTTATTATATAATGGGCTATGGTTGTTGATGTTTTTATATAGTATGTCTGAACACAAGTTTGGAAAAATGTGTGATCACAAACGACACTAAGAGGCTAGTGCAGGTATGGCCAACAAATGGTCCACAGACCGGATCTAATGAATTTATGTGGCCTGCAATCAATCTTTCGGTATTAGCTACTGAAGTCCGAATAACTTGATGAAGAATTCTGATGCCTAAAAAAAATAAAAAAAGAGGTCAGCAACTCACTGTGTGTCTAGAGTTAACCTCTCATTCATTATAAATCTCTTAAGTTGATAAAGCATGATAATGTGAAAAATGTATCTGTAATCTATCTTCAATTTTATCTCAATTTATATTTCAATTTATAGGGTGACACCACAATGAGATCTCGCACCACCTCAAAATCTTTCTAGGGCAGCCTCTGGTTCGGCCAGTGGAAAAAGTTCATTCCAATTTGGCCCAGGAGCAAAAACTGTTGGTCACCCCTGGGCTAGTGGAAGTCCCGGATTGTGCGCAAGTGTGCACAATCCAGGACTTCCTTTTTTCTCATCACTCATTATGCAAAACGTTGCTCATTAAGCAAGTCATTTTTCTACAATTTGTTTTGCTCATTATGTGAATTACTCATTATGAGAAGTGCTCATCAAGTAACATTCCACTTTACTAAAAAAAAAAAAAAAACAATACTTTACATAATTTTCCAGTAATACTTAGGTTATTTTATGAAAACATTGAACAAGTTTGAAAACATACATGCGTTTGTGAGTTGTAACTATAGACATTGAATACATGCTTCTGTTGTGGTGTCAATGAATTTTGGTTTTTTTATCCTTTCTCAATAAAATAAATTTTGTGTTATTTATGCATCTTTGTATGAATTTGTTCTATTGTACTTTACAGAAATATTCTCAAAAGGTGAAAGAATTTCTCTTACACAATGAATAATGTAATTCTTAGTAGAACAATCAGCAAGAAAAAGTATATTTCAACAGAGAATAATTACATTTAAAGAAAAATCAAAAATAAATAGCAAATAATATTAATAAGATTTTCAAATACTTTAAAAACATTCATATTTCATTAGGTTTTCATGTTGGAAGCAATAAATTAAATTACCAATATTTGAATGAAGGGATAACAATTAAATGGTAATGACACTGCAGTCAATTTTAGTCAGTTGCACATTAAGAAAACAGGATCTAAATAATGATTATATTGTTTTATTAATTTACTATTTCCAAAATGGATGCAACTGAATGTAAAGTTAAATGTGTTTTGTTTTTTGATGATGGACTGATTTTTACGCAGTGATGTCACAGATTCCTTTCCTAAAATGAATTATTATACTCCTTTGAAAGAAATTTGTGAGATTTCTTAAATTTTTCTATAAAATACAATGGAATGGGTTCATAGGAAAGTGCACAAATAAAAATAAAGCTAAACTTTCCAAAAAAACTTGAGAAAAAAGAAGACAAAATTCAAAGACATCACAAAATCAAACACAAGTGTGTGTATAAAGGCATCAAACAGATACAATGCTATTACAAATAAACAAACAATTCCCTTTTATTTCTAAGATGTGAAATAAGATAAAAACATTCACTACAATTATATCTAAAATAAAAGTATACCTGGAATATTAATATGAAGAAGATGAAGAGGAACATGTAAACTATTCTATAAATTACAACATTTGAGCCTCCAAGTGATATGACCATGAGCATACATGCAACAATCCAAATCCAAAATTTGGTCATAAACTTTTTTATAACTTCCCCCAAATATTGCAAGCATTGATTAGGAGCTGTAATAATTGATGTTACTGTACTTAACTGCCTTTGCATTTCTGTAATGTAAAATTTTATTTATTTATTAAATGAAACATGTTATCAATTAAAAATTCTTAGCTATTAAAATATTAAATACCTGGTCTTGGTGCTCCTGGTTGAGATGTACTGTATGATATATTAAATGGTTCAAGCACTACACTCTCGGACAATCTTCGATCAGAATTCCTTCGTCCTTCTTCTATACGTTGATGAAGTGTTATCCAAAACATTATTGTATATAAAATCTAAGAATAAAAAATTTAAAAATTAAAGTTTAGAGTATAACATTTTATAGTTTTTGTTATATTTTGTTTGATTGTGCAATCTGTGGCTTTCATAAAATAAAAAATTATAAATGTAAACAGAAATGACTGTATATACAGATCCAGTGGCATGCTGTCCGTGGAAGCTGTGGAAGCACTGATTCTCTTGTGTTTTCTAAAATATAAATACATATTGTACGACTATTTTCATATTTTAACGTACATTGAATTAATTAAAATTAATATTTTATTATAACCGCATTATATGTCTTATTACAAATTTCTATACTATATGTGAAAACAATGATAAGATTGCTATTGTATATTTGAACAGAAATTTGTAAATGCATATTCCCAATGAAAGCGCTGTATTGTCGAATACGGGACAGCTTCCACAATGAAAATATTCGAATCATGTAAAACAGCCAGATTATACACATGTACTTTACAGAGCACCAACCTCACGTGGTTTAGCTCATGGATGCTACACATCAAAATATCATATAACAATTTCAATAATTCTATCCAGAGCCAGCACAGCTTCCCTATCATTAAATGTTACCATGCCACTGTACAGATCTCTCTATTCTTACGTTTAAAATTGCAGATATTTGCAATACTATTGAGAGTTTTAAATATATTTGAAATAAGATATTTTAATTTGTTTCTATTGAATTTTTTGTGCAATATCTATCATTAATGTGATATTTGGAGTTTAAAATGCACTTTCTACTACACTTTGTTTAATATTGCAAACATTGATACATTAAATAAATTAATACAACTCAAATTAAGATATTTTACTAAAACGGATTATTATTAGATCTGAAATGTATTTATGTTTAAAAAAAATTTTTTTAAATTAACCAATTATTTTCTTCATTTCCATATAGAATATTTTTATTTTTAAGTTTTTAAAGTAATAATTTTATTTCTTCTTCAATAAATAATAATAAATTTTTTTCTTTTAAATACAGTATTTGCTTATTTGATTTCAAAACATTTTTGCTTCATCAAAGAACAGATATAAATTATATAAAAACAATTTCATTAAAAATTAATTGTAACTGACACTGCAATTAATTTATTATTAAATTTTGTGTTGTAAATGCCAATAATTTAAAAAAAAATTTATTTATTTATTAATAGAATTTTTCATTGTAGTAAATATTTAGTACTTTTTGTTTATTAGTTAAACAAAACTTGTCTCATAATTATTGAAATAATTTTTGATTTGTAATAAATAATAATATAAGAAAAAGTGTCTACAAAATCATTACTTGACAATGTTTCTTTGCATACTGCAATTCAAATTCTTATTATATCTTACCTTAATGGCTAGAGGTTGATATGATAAAGCATGATATTTTACTAATCCAATCTGAGCTAGATTTACACCTTCTACTTTTGATGGAAGTTCTTTTTCAGTCAAATCAAAACTATAAATGTATTGAAGTATGAGTAGTAATTCTGCATATATTACTAGAGCGGGCGAGGAATATAAACATGCTCGGCGTGAATTAGGAATCATCCATAAAGTACATGACCAGAGAAGCAGAACAAAAGTCAGCCAACTATGATAAGTGATACTCCAAGTCTAATTAAAATAAAAAATACAAAATCTTAAAAAAATTTAATTCAATTTTTTAAATTTATTAGATTCAACTTGTAATTTATTAATTATTCAAACATATTTTATAAATAATATTAAGTAATAATATTTTATTTAAACATAAAATATATCAACAATAATAATAAAAAAGAGATCTTTTAGGATTTTACAGCGATACCCTGAACTTACGCAATAGGTGGGACCGAGCGATAACCACGCAAGTCGAATTCGCATAAGTCGGGGTATAATTTTGATAATTTTGCAATTTATGTAAAATCCAAGTCGGATGTATGTAAGATAATAAATGTTCTCGTTAATCTTATCTCGTCTTTTGATTTGTTCATGGTTACAAGAAATCACCACCACATAGAGTCTCTCAAGTCTCCGTAGATATAACGAACACAGAAATAAATAACACAAAATAAATTGTAGCTATGTGTCGATTCTGCACAACATGTCCGAACATGTAAGATGAACAATAGTGGGGGAGAGTGAGTAATAAAGAGTTCCATGGTACTCAAACAAAAGATGAATCGACGAGATTTGAAAATCGCTTAACTCCAGGTTCGCATAAGTCGAAGTATTACTGTACTCAAATTTAAGTATATAAATTTTTAAAATTAATGATTGTTTTCTAACTACTATTAATCTATTTTGAGTTTATTTACATCAGATATTCTTTCACTCAACAAAATTTGTAACAATATAATTTGACAGATATGATTCAGTCAAAAAATTAGATACATTTTATTCATTTCAATTTACTTTTGTACAACAAATTCTATAAAAACTACTGATAAATGCAAAGATTAAATATAAAATGAAAATGTTACTGTTTTTAATTGTCACAGCATCAATAATTTTTTGAAACAAATTTCAGATGTACTTACATGGAAAGTGCGATTGTGTCAATTAACCACAAAAGTGTTATAATACAGTCAAGACGGCACTTAAGTAAAACAATTTATTAACAAGTGATGATAAAATAATGCACACAAACAAAAAAAAATCCGATGTCAACTCTAGGCATTTTCCCAGCTCTGCCCAAGATAAAATAAAAATTGACATGCAGACTAACCCAACAAACAAAACAAATGTTCTGATGTCTTACAATTTTGTCTAATAAGCACACTACAGGTATACCTCGCCTTACGTCGGTAATTGGTTCCAGGAAAGCGACGTAAGTCGAATTTACTTGTCTCCGAATCTACTTGTCACTAGGCTAAATCATAAATTACCATTCCCGGTTCTGTATTTTATTTATTAAGCTTACAAACAATTTTATTAAATTGTAGTTTTTAATATAGTACAAAAAAAGTAATCTAAATTTACGAATGCATGTACTGTAAATACAGTACATACTTGTAAATGTATATATTTTAATATGATTTTATGTGCTTTAAACGCTTTTCTAGTGATATTACGACTTCAATATTTGTGGCGGACAGACGTAAAGTCGAATAAAATGACTTAAACTTGATTTTTATTTTTCCATATACTTTTTTGACAAACGACGTATAATCGGGAATGACGTAACTCGAAACGACGTAAGTCGAGGTATACCTGTACATTTAATTCAAAAGTTCCTTAAAACTAAATTAAAACTAACTTATATCTGTAGAGAAAACTAAAGGGTATAGGACAGACAAAGGAGAGGATAAAGAAAAGGGACACTAATGCTAGTTTAAATTTTTTTAGGATGATGATCCTTTCGAATAATTTTCAAAAAAATTTTCTTTCCTTTTTTGTATGGGGAATTAACATATCTTCTATATCTGACATAAAAGGGGATCTTCTATATCAATGTTCAACTGATGGCTTGGGATTCTTGGTGCACAAGGCCTCCGAGCTGCTGCTTAGTCCTTTTCACTTGTTAGGATCAAACCTATTCCTACCACTTTCTCCCTGGGTCTGACCCACACTTCCCCATGACAAAGCTCTTACTTCTCCTACCTTGCAGCCCCTTAGGCACTTCTCCCCATGAAAAACTCTAAACATGAATCATCAAACCAGTAAAATTGAAAAAAGAAAAAAAGAAAATTCTAGAAAAGGAGAAAAAAACAAAGAACAAAGACAGAAGCTATAAACTAAAATATGCTAATTTTAAAACTATAGTGTACAGACACACTTATACTGATTAACATTGTATAAACTCATGAAAAATTGCATTCATAACTATCTCATCAGAGTTCCACTAACTAAAATATATCAGAATACATTAAACAATCATTGCCTACTGAACTGCAAGATTCTTTGGGCTACAACAAATCTATTAATTATTAATTAATAACCTCATTATTAAGAATCCAGCAATGTAGTAATGTAGTGGATGATTATTAATAACTGGACTTAATAACATTTTTGTCTTATACTGAGAAATTATTTATAAACAACAACACTCAAATATAGTGATAAATTTTCCAAGCAATGGAATAAAATTTATTTATCTTATATTTGTATCTAATTACAAAAATTATAATTATTAAAAGCATTAGAATAACAGCATACATGATAACATTTTTGTAAAAAGTCATAATTCAATTTTTAAAAGCATTAGAATTATACATATAAATTTAAATTATTTAAATTTTAGTTGATATAAAAAAATGTGCATTTGTAAAGTATTGGTATTTTAATACAATTGAAAATTGTAATTTAATAATTTTGTATTAGCCACTTTTAATATCATAATTTATTAAAATTCTCTACAAGAAATCATCATCATATGTTATAAAATCATAGCTTAAAACTGAATAAGAAAGTTACAATGTCAAATTCTAATTAAAAAATCTCACATTAACAAAATATTTTAAATACAAAGTCAAATAAATACTTGTTAATTTTTTATACACTATTACATTATTTATATTGATTATAGTGATTATTTTATAATATATTTGTTATTATAAATAAATAAATTATATAAGTCAAATACTATGCTTCCAATACAGTGGATAAATCGTATTGTTTTAAGATGAAAAAAAAAGGAGTTTTAAAAGTTTTACTATATTTTAAGTGTTATTAAAGCTTTATTAAGATACATTAACTACTTAATAGCATCATCTTTTTATAATTTGAAAGATGAATAAATATAAATTTGATTCAATAATTTCAATATAATACTATAGGACTGGGTCAGTTTTACCATTAGGCAAGTTTAAGTTATTACATGGGGGTGCCAAGATATGGAGGTGCCAGCCTTAAACAGAGAAAAGATAAAAAATTGAAAAAATTTAATGATTTAATTCTGGCAAAATACAGTTTAGTTTGATATTAAGTAAATATTATCTGAATATTTTAAAAAAATATATTTAATATTTTAATCAGGGCTGTGGAGTCGGAGTCATGGAATTTTGGTGTTTTAGCCAGAGTTGGAGTCATCAAAAAATTCGCTGACTTTGACTCCTTTTTACTTCCCAACTTGTTATGTATATAAAATGAAAAAGTATTGGAAACATGTCAAATTTGACCATCCAAATCTACATGTTTGGAGACCTCCCGAACCCCTCAAAAAAGTCAATAAAAGGGGAAAAATTCGCTTGCATGTGTGTGTTGGTGTCTAATTTGTTTAATTTCTTTATTTTCTGTTCCGAGATATTAAACAATAGTAAAGTTTAAAGCCCTGGTCACACTATGCGATTTCCAGCCGCGCAGGCGACTGCAACCGCGACGGCTGTTCCCGTTAACTAGTAATCCCCCCCTCGAAAACCGGCGCGACTGCAATCGCAACTAGAAACAAAAAGTTTGTTCTACTCGCGACGATTGCAAACGCGCATCCAATCAACAAACGCCTTTATGCCACGTCATACAGTGACAACATTGAAAATAGTTCATCATCATGGCGGATAGTCAGAGGATTAATACTTTTACAGAATCGAGATTGATCGAGCTTATTCACGAATACCTGTGAGATTTTAATTCTTCGTTTTATCGAAGATTTTATCTTTTCATGTATTTTCGCCAGCTCTATTAAAATAATCACCTTTTTTCTTTTATTCATTCCAGAAAAGGAACTGCTTGCTATTTTAATAAGAAAAGTGGCTAAAATTCTGTAAATACTCTGAAGTAGAATGTAAAATATCAGCAAACTCACGAAAGTAGTCAAAAACAAGCTACTGTAATTTTATTGGTTTATTATAGGGCCACGTGTTTCCGAGTTGCAACGTCAACAAACAATGTGTGACCACGAGAAGACGCGCGCGACTCGCGCTTGTTGCAGTTGCAGTCGCCTGCGCGGCTAGAAATCGCATAGTGTGACCAGGGCTTAAGAAACAAAATGTGGCACTGTTTGTTGGTCATAAAGGAGCATTAATACTATTAAATTTTGGTTCTTAACTAAAGGTCGAGAGGGCGAAGACATAAAAGGGGTCACGTGTCATATCTCTTAATGAATATTTTAGTCATTATTAGTGTTCAGAATTTAAAAAAATAATAAAACTTGTCTCTACCCTCAAAGCAAGCTTTTTTTGTCATTTTATAATAATACAGTAAAACCCATTAAGATGTTCTCACCTAAGATGAGGGACATGATTTAGTTCAACCACTTTGATGCTTAATAACTAACTCCTGTGTTAAACCATCTGACTCCGATTCTGACCACTCTGATCACAGAAATTATTACACTTCAAACAGGGTGAACAAAATCATGCCCCATACACAAAGTCTAACATCCACACATATAGAAAAAAATCTCGAATCATATCTCGAACTTTCAGGGTGTCCTGACTCCAAAAATGTAAAAATTTGGGAGGGGTCATTTTTTGACCAAGCATTACACTTTCCCTCTGTTATATATAACAGCTGAAAAAGTAAAAATTATCGAATACATATTTATATATTACTTAGAGGAGTCTTAGCTTTGGAATAAAAAGTTTCTACATTCTATCTTTATTAGAACTCTATTTATTGAATCTTTTATTCTGAGGTCACGTGATGACATCAGAATTTCCAGTCTCTTTTGGTAATAAGTCTGTCCCTGGTCGGAGTTGGTAGATTTTTACACGACTCCACAGCCCTGATTTTAATTTAATTTTTGTATAAGACTAAATAGGAATAACACTAAAAAAACAACTAAAATTTAAAGATAAACTTTTATTTTTCACATAATACCACAATTGCATCTAGAGAAAAATTCAAGCATATGTCTATAATTAATAAAAAGTTGGGCTTCCTTTTAAATATATATATATTAATTACAAAAACTTACTTCAGAAGAACTCCTTTAAACATGATAATTCTAAAGAAATTGTCAGAATATATTTATCTACTGAATTAAAAATAATGGCAAGACAAATTCCAGAAAATACTTCTTCATTAAATATCCTGTCATATACAGGTAACCCCCATATAACACGGCACTTCTATAGCACGGATTCACTCTAACACAGTTCGAGAATTGGGAACATCCCCCGTATAACATGGTGCTTTTATAGCACGGGTTCACTCTAACATGGTTTGGGAATTGGGTAAAACGCTCATACAACATAAAATGTAATAAATGGTGCATTCTTTTAAACCTCCGCGTAACTCCACACGAGCATTATAATTCTTTTCGTGGCTACTTTGAATGCTCTTTCAACAAATAATCCATTTAATGGTTAAATTATACAATTGGGACCCTTCTTTTGTCTCTAAAAGCTCATTTTAGAATTATAGATTCCTCCACATGATACTATCAATAGTGCAGGCACCACCATCTTTCTTTCACTGTCGTTCCTAAATGTCTACAAACAGCAATGCACTCCCATTGCAGAGCGACTGCTAGTAATGAACGCATCCACAAACTGTTACCAGTTGATGATGCTCATGCTGAGATCATCATATCAAATGAATAATCCTCTGGTAAAATATTTACTTAAATAATAAATAAGTATTTTACCTATGAAAAAATGAATAATAAATCCGATTTAAATAAGGATTTAACAATATGTTTTTTAATTTTTGGAACCTAACGTCCCTTTTCGCACTAGTTCTTTGTTTCATATAACACGAATTCGCATAACATGGCAATTTTCTGGAATGTAACTCCCGTGTTATACAGGGGTTACCTGTACATGCAAATAAAATTTAAAAAATAGTGTTCTAAATGTGTTTATTACCAGTATTGGTAGTTCAGAAAGGAGTTTTTCAAAATTAAAACTTATAAAAATTTATACTCATTCTGTAATGGCTAAGGAATGATTCACTAATCTAGCAATAATACAAGTATTTATAAAGCATGAAATTGCATCTACAATTGATATAGATGAATTTATTCAAAACTTCACCAAGCAAAAGTCTCAAAAATAATTGTTCATAATTTTTGTATTTAAAATGTAATAATTTTCTTCCTACACAGATAATAGTAGTAATAATATATGTACAGTATACATATATTAGTGCTAATTAATAAAAATTTTTTAAAATTTTCGTAATGATATTATTTTTATAAATATCCACATGTATGGGTATGTGTGTGTGTTTGTATTCAGGGCTGGTGCTACAGTATGAGGAAACTAGGTATTTGCCCAGGGTGGCAAGTGGCAAGGTGGCAAATTTTCATAAATCTATACAAAATTTTCACATGTATTATTTTCTTTAATATTTTATCATCTTTATTTATATTGCATGACATGAGTTGAAAATTGATTGATGGAGCAAGATATGGCATTTCAAAATAAAATTTTTTTCATTTTATATAGAGGAATACGGGACATCAAATGCATATCTTGCCCCAGGCAGCATAACCTCTAGTGCAGGCTGTGCTTGAATGAGTATGTTAATATATATACAGTAAATATATAAACAATGTATATGAAAATCTAAATTTTCTTTGTCTAGGGGCATCAGATACTCTTGCACTAGCTCTATTAATATATGAAAATAAATGAAAAATATATTAATTAATGCTTTTATTTACGAATTCTATATCATTATTTTAATGCATGCTTGCTGCATATCAAGAAATTTTTGTCAAGAATGTGATTATGTTTCTTCAGTATTTTTTTTAAAAAAAAAGTTATTTCTGGTACATAAATCTGGTGACCAAACATATAGAATGTTTTTACTGAGCAACCACCAATACTACATATTAGCTGTTGATACTTTTTATGCTAAGACAAACAATCACTGTAATTAATTGGGCTATTATTATGCTATGATTAATAATTAGAAACTAAGTAATTTGGTACTAGAGGTAGACATCAGGTGCCATCTCTTATCTAAATTAATAATTATAATAATTTAATAAATAATTTAGAACATTTTGTTGATAAGGAACGATTGAGAATATAATTTATTTTTAACTTTCTTACCAACAAAGAGGATCTAAGGATAGCACACCCCCATTACTATTCCTGGGTCCTGTATCACTCAAAATTGTACACTTGTTTAGAAAAAATGGCTACATGCTACCGCTATCCACACAGCCAACATTAAGAAGATTACTAACTAATGACAGAGACCCAATCGATATGAAAGAGAAATCGGGAGTTTATCTTATTCCATTAAAACAATGGATCAGGAAAAGATACTTATTATATAGGAGCAACTGTCAGAACACTAACATCACACATCACAGAACATCAGGATGACATCCGTAATAACTGGCCATCAACGGAATTAGCAAGAAAAGTCCTTGATGAAGACAAACCAGTTGGTTTGGGACCAAACTAAACTATTGAAAGAATGCAATAATCATAAAGAACTCTTTATTTGGGAAAACCTATATATTTCAATGCTATCACCATGTAATACCACAACTCTGGAAATTTCTAAAACATGGACTACTTTATTTAAACATTACAAATTAGATTGCTAGAGCTACATGGTCGCATAGCAACCATAGTTTGTAAATTTCTATAATTTTCCGTTCCATTTCTAAACATTTTCGAACTGCAAGAAAGTTTCGATTTACATTGAGTTCCATTTAGCCGCCACTTTTTCAAGAAGTGCTATAACTCTGATTCAGAAAACTGTAGTATTCATTTCACTTGAAGAAGGTAACTGTATGTTACCAAAAGTGCTCATGAACATTTTATATTTATATTTTAATAATTCGTAATAATGGTAACGTCACAACATGTAAGTGATTTTTTAATAACTATAAAGTCGGTGTAAAGTGATAACCAATTTTATTATGAAAAACTTGGTCTTTTGGTGTTAATAAATAAACAAAATTCTTTAATATTAAAACTTTCAAACTTTCTCAATTAAATTGAAATTTTGTCATCATCAAGCAAGTTAACAGAACAAAAAAGAATCTCACTTACAGAAAAATGTTGTGAAATTTGAAATTGATGATGTACATGATGAATACATAAAGATTAAATGCAGTAAAAAGTAATAACAAATTAGTAACTAATATACAAAAGATATCTGAAAGTGTATAAGAAGGGAATACAAATAATAGCAGTAACTGTAGTAAAGTACCAACAGTGATATCTTATTAACTGCAAAAAGAAAACATAATGCTATATGAAGTTGATTAATTCACTCCAAAAGTCAGTAAACAAAAATACAGGCTTGTTTTTAAGACTGAAGCATTTTCCAAAAATATAACATTTTGGTGTCCCAAAGTATTTTAATAACAGAGGCATTATTCCAATAGAGATTATAGTTGTTGTCAATGACCAACTTAAAAAGTTCCGTGTCTTTACTGCCTTGTGCACCATATTGATTTTTGATATTCTCATATCTTGACACTTAATTGTAGCCCTAATGTATTGTACATAACAGGGTTACTGTGTGCCAGTAGTTTCAAATTTATTATGTAAATACCAAATTTTTCAAAATTGGGTCTTTGGTCCTTATCATTTACAACTAATCTTTTGAATGTTGGCTGAGGGGTGAGTGAAAGAATGTAATTAAATTTGTGAAAGATTTAGGCTACTTTTAAAGATAAGGTTCCCACATACAGAATAATGTATTATAAATATAACAGCAAAATACTGAAAAATACCTTGAGTACTTTTAAATTTTGAAAAAAATTGAATTCTACTGAATAAAACTTTGAACAATAATAATTATTCATAGTACATTTAAAAATTTTTAAATTACATTTAAATAGCATTTCAAAGTTCAGATTAATATTACACAAACTGTTAATTAAAATATTTAAAAGTAAACAATAAATTTGAACAAATTTTATGAAAGTTTTCAGAAAAAGTAAACAATATTTCATATGCTATATTAATTAATGTATAAATTCAATGTCATAGTTCAAAGTAAGATGTTAACTTACCATCATAATTACCAATGTTGCAACATAACTTCCTTTTACAATAAGTCTGAAGAAAAAAATGAAAGGTGAGAATAATTTATTGTATTTACTAGTTGCACCACCTGATGTAACTGTTGTTGTTTCATCAGGTACCCCATTTCCATCTCTCATCTCACTTTCACTTGACCAAATAATACTCCCATTTGGATCTAATTCAAGTGAATTATTTTGTCCTGCATTATCTGTTGTTCTGTAAGACTTTCCTGTATGATCATTTTCCAATAACTACAATAAAATTAAAACTTTTATAATTAAAAATATTTTTTATAAAATAATTTATACTTTATAATTAGATAATTAGATTTTTTTAAACTAAATTTAATAATTTAAAGAATAGACACAGGTTTCATTTACAAATAAATACTTATGTTTAATTATACTATGAACAATATTTTTAGCTAATTGAAATTATTAGATATCTTGAAGATATCTAAGATAATTTTCTTTTTATATAAAATGCATTTTAACTTCATTTTCAGTCAAGTTCAGAAATGCTTGCCTTTAAGTTTTTCAATTTTTATAAATTAAATTAAAATGATGCTAATAAATAATATTTTCAAATTTTGCAATTTAAAAATGTTTTATTTAAGAACAAAATAATAGTTTTAATTAAACATTGTCTAGTAATGTTTAATTACATTTTTATAAATCTTAGATTTGGTAAAAAGAAATAATTGAGCAAGAAAGAAGACATTAATTCCAAAACAGTATGAAAAGTGATAGAAAGAAAGATTGTAATCACTGATATATCTGACAATCTCTACTCCAGCCTCAAGATGAAAGGAAAAAGAAAATTTTTGATTTAACAAATAATACTTTTACACCTTTTTTCAGATAACTGAATGAGGAGCACAGGTTGTATAACCATTTTGTTCAATACAGCACACTGAATACACAATAAATAAAAACAACTAGCATATTTATTTACCAATACACAAACACAATCACTGCAGCAAGCTCACAATCACTATCCTTAGAAACTTCATTGCAGGTACTTATACAAAAAGCACTTGATATCCAAATGGACAAAAAGTTGCTGAATTTTTTACTTCACTAATTTATCTAAAAATTATATTACTGTCAAATGCAAAAATCAGATTGGACTAATTTTGGCATTTTACTTACACTTATTTTAATTTCTTTTACATAGTAAGTTTGTCTACAATCTATATTTCCATATATGAGTAAATAATTATATTTGAGCTCATTTGTGGCACAGTGTGGCAATGGGCCAGATGAACTGACCTCTCAGGCCAGATCCAGCCCACAAGTCATAGTTTGCTGACCCGATTAAAAGGAATATAAGTAAAAACATTCATACTGAATGTAACATTGAAATTCTTTCAACCATCTTGCAACAGTTTTTTTTATGAAGTTTATGTAATTTTAAATTAGACTATTTTCACTTTTAATTCAATTTGTTGCCTTTATAAATTTTATAAAATTTATAAATTTAAAATTTTAAAATATATATTTTAAACAAAATTTCAAATAAATCAGATAATAATTTGATTTATTTGAAATTTTGCTTAAAATTTATAATTTTAGTAGTTCAGAATTTCTATGTTAAGAAATGTGTATGCATTAAATACAAGAATATGGAACAAGTGTTGCAAGGTCCAAGACTATTTAAACATTTACTATAATAAAACTTTAAAACACATTTTTGCCTATGAACATAGACTTTTGGGCTATCTTATGTATTGCTAATCTTGCTTTTTGTTTTTATCTTTCTTATATGTAGTACAATCTCAGTAATCCATACATTTACTAGTTGACATGTCCAGTAATCTGACAATAGATGACTCTTGGATATTACAATCACTGTTGTCAATTCCCACTAATTCAAACATCAATGCCCATTAAATTTCAACATCTCCCCACTAAGGTTATATCAATCCCAGCTTGGGCATAATGTTAAATATTGATATCTCCATATCTTAGATTGCTAAAAAAAAAAAATACAATCTCTCATAACACAATACAAAGTTTATAATTTTGATATAAAAATCATTCCCCAAAATTTTCTGCCAAAAAATACTGTACCTCTCACTAAATTCCTCATAATCACTTCACTTTTCCACTAAATTTTGCAGGAATCCATTAACCTGGCAACACAGATTATTGGCAATAGCAGCATGCTCAGACAAAACAACAAAACACAATTAAAAATTATTTTAAAGGGATTGATTATTAATTTGTGAACTCTAAAATCCAGTGACATATGATCTATAAATATTTTTGATATAATATAAAGTATTTATATTTGCAAATGAATGTTTTCTTTCCTAATGATTAAACAATTGACCTTACCTTACTTTCAATAATCTGATAATCCCCTTAATCTAACACTGTTCTGGTCCCATATATGTTGGATTACTGAGATTGTACTATATAAAAATCCAACCAGACAAACTTTACATTCAAGAACAGGGCACATCTGAGGAAGCATGGTAATCTTATTGCAGTGTTTTTCAAAGTGTGAGATGTGCCTTGAGAAAGGATAATTATATTAAAAAGAGAATGTAGAATAACTTCAAAACTTATAAAAGATACATCATAAGTAAATTACTGATATATAATAGTAATTTAATGTTGAAAAATATTCATAAAAATTATGATTATTGCTATTATTTGCATGTAGCAGATGTCACAGCATTCAATTTTATTACATTTCATAAAAAATAAAAAGAATATGGAATGTGCTGTGTCAGAATTGCCTTAACTATGCAGAGGTCATATGGTAAATCTTGGATGCCAGAACAAATATTTTGCAGTGTCTACAAAAAAAAAATTGAAGTTTCATATCTAAGTACCTTTCTAAATATTTTCTTTGTTCAGCATGTTTGAATTACAGTGAAACCTCGGTATATGACCTTAATCCATTCCTGATGTTTGGACTTATACCGAATTGGACGTATACCGAACCAACCTTTCCCATAAGAAGTAATGTAAAAATGATTAATCCGTTCTCATGTAAAAAAAATGGCTGGCTTTAAACACCTCGCTTTCCTGGCTAATTTCTGCTTGATTTTTCGTGAGATCAGCGTATATCTTTTTCGCTTTTTCACAAATAATTGCTTCCGATACGCTGTCTCCAACACTGTTTTTCAGTTATCCAAAGCAAAAGCAATTTCTCAACATGATCTAATGTCTTCGATCTCTGTTTAGAAATTGATTTAACCCCTTTTGCAACGTTAGCAGATTTAATAATGTCTTTATTTTTCGCGATTGTCCATATCGTCATTCTCAGAATACAGTAAACAACAGTTAAAATCTCGAACACGCGTGCCACCTTTGTATTTCTCAACAATCTCTTTCATCAGTTCCATTGTAATTCTAGTCAATTTTTTAGTTTTCTGTCACTTTTCATTTGCCTTTTTGCAATTCATGATTAATAAAAATAATAAAATTTTACTTACAAATTAAAATCAGAAGAAATTAAACAAAGTTATAAACCGTTGCATCGCGAACGTCTAGTCTGGTCTAGTACACTGATAGTGCTACTTGTTCATTGATGGCGCGTATAATTGAATTATGTCGTATACCGAATAAAAGTCATATACCGAGCAAAATTTGTTTTGTCCAAACAGGACATATTCCGAATTGGACGTATTCTAAAGCAGACGTATACTGAGGTACCACTGTATTCTTAATTTTTGATTGGTGTGAATTAAATGCATTTTTTTATTTAGGCAGTCTAATATTAATAGATGCCATAAAGTCATCCCTATAACAAAAAAAGGATGTTTTTCTGAAATAATTTCAATATATTATTTAACTTTTTTACATTAAATAATGCAAGTTCATAGTTTAAAAAAAAAACACTAATGATTTTAATTTTTTTTACTAGGAAGCTTTGGATCTATTTCTGTATGTATATTACAACAGATGCAATATCTATAATTGATACTTTATGGAAAAATTGTAATAAAATTCAAGAATGACTTAAGGAATTTATAGGCAAAGGAGAAGAATCAGATGCTGAATATACTGCAGTGATGATGATAAAGACAATGTCCAAGTAAGCAAAGAAAGTGATAAAACAGAAGAGTTACAAAAATAAAATCACAATACCATGAAGGAATGCACACAGCAACATGCATATTACAGGACTGGTAGAGGTGACAGATATATGCAGAACAAATAAAAAACAAAAAATAAGAACTATCAATATATGTTTAACAATTAATAATTAATTCTTTTATTTCTTAAAAAAGACTGCATACACAGGACATATCCCAGTAACACAAAAATATATTTATAAACTTTTTGAATCCAATGCAGCAAATCTCCCTGAATAATGAAAATATTCAATTCTGTTTTGTATAAATGATAATGTATAATGTAATTAATATGTTGGTCAATAAATACAGGAAATCCTTGTTAATTTGAAATTCAAGGGATGAAATGATTTCAACTTAGAATTATTGATTTTCAAAGTACACAAGATTCACATATTTCTGTACAATATGCCAAATGTCATGTAACTGATGTAACTTATTAAGCAAATGGAATATAGCTATGTATACAGAATGCTATTTTCATTAATTAATAATTAATAATATAAATAAACTATAGGTAAACAGCAAGTGTCCAGTGAGAACCTCACAGGCTATCAGATAGATTTTATAAAAAGTAAAGCAAAATTCCTTGAAATTTAGCTCAAAGTATTGTCAAAATAACCCAAAAAGTAGTGTGTCACCCAAATCTAGTAGCTTAGAGCCCTACAAATATCTGCTACTTATAGTACAAATTTGAAATCCCAAAACACAGTCTTATTTTATGATATAAGAGAAAAAGGGTATTGCATGGGTAAGGTGACACCTAAAAAAACACATTACTGTAAAAGCAAAGCCATGTTGTCCAGATTAGAGTTGTTCTTGGTCTATTGTTTTCTTATATAGAGGCTCTATTGTTTTCTTATATAGAGGCTCTATTGTTTTCTAATATAGAGGCTCTTCGATCTAAATGAATGAGTTAATATATGCATACAGCAGTTCAAACAGAATTTTTACTTCAAATTTTGTAAGTAGCCATATTTCAAACTAACTGAATTCTTCAGCATCTCTATATCCCCAGCTGAAACAAAAGTATAGTTATGAACTAATGGGATTTCAAACTATTTGAGTTTGAATTAACAAGGAATTCCAGTATCATTGTTTTAGTTGTATATAGATTTGTATATAAAGCAATTAGTTCTATTAAAATCTTTATCAACATTCTTTTATTATATTGAAAAAAAAAATTTAATATAAACAATTAGATTCTATTATTCCATTTTATCATTTGTTATTTTACTTACTTAAAATTTCTATACTGAAGTACAAAGCAGAATCAAGTTTATAAAAACTTAACATTGTACAATGTTTTGATTAGAGATTTCGTTCCATTTCTAGAAAATGGAAATTAATAATCATATAATCAGATTTACTATCAATATCATTGTTATAACCAAAATTGAATTGAGTATTGCAATTTGATTCAGTAAGAAATATTATTATTTGTTTTTACTTTTTAATGTTAAGAAAATCTAAATAAATTTAGACATTGAAATAAAGACAAATATCATTTCTTACTGAATTAAATTTCTATACTCAATTCAATTTTGGTTATAACAATGATAGTGTTAATAAATCTGATTATACAATTATTAATTTCCATTTTCTAGAAATGGAACAAAATCTCTAATCAAAACATTGTACAATATTAAGTTTTTATAAACTTGATTCTGCTTTGTACTTCAGTATAGAAATTTCAAGTAAGTAAATAACAAATGATTAAATGAAATGAAACAATCTAGTTGTTATATTAAGAAATCTTCTCAATATAATAAGAGAATGTTGATAAAGATTTTAATAGAACCAATTACTTTATACACAGTATAGATCTATATAGAACAAAAAATAATATTTAATGACCAATATATCAGAATATTTATTTTTTCTAAAATTTTGTATACTTGATTTAAACTATTACTATGATTAGTATCATATGATTAAAAATATTCTAAAGAAGGTAATTTGCACTATTAAATACTAATTTTAAGGTAATCATGATAAATTTATCTTGATCATTTTCAAAAACTGATTTAAAAAATATGAATTTTAATTTCAATTTAATTGTTAAGCTTATTTTAAAAAGTCTCTTGAGAATAAAGATAATTTACATTCAAAGTTTTTGAGTATCTATCATTTGCTTTGTTAGAGTAAAAAGTAATTATTATATAAATTTTATTTCAAATATTTACTTATAATAATAATAATAATAATATACTACATATACCTTAAAAACTGTGTCTATTCTCTGTTAGTTATAATTAGTAATTTATATTTTTTTAACAAATAGCATTATTTAATATTAAAGTTAATTTAGAAAATAAATAAATTTAACAAAATATATTTATATAGATTGATAGATAGATAAAGAAAATTTCCATACTTTAGAATGATTAAGTTTATATTTCAGAATTAATTTTGCATAGTTCCATGCTTTTTTAAAAACAAATTTACTATTTATTTAGACAATTATTCATTTAATGCAACAATTAGAAGCAAGAAAATTAATGTTATATTAATAGAAATTAGTAAAATATTCATTTTAAAATGTTAAATTTCATTATCATGCAAAGCAAGATGTTTTAGTGAGGCTAAACTCTCATTTCATAAACATAAAAAATAGACTGTCTCATTAAATGAATTTAGCTTTTATTTCAAGACAAATTGTTTTTTTCCAAGACAGATTAATATGTAAAAAAACTTTAATAATTTTACTCAATGTAGCCATACAATATTAATAGAACATGCAAAATTGAAATACTGACTGACTGATAATATTGTACATTTATTTTAAGGGGAAAATGTTAATAAAGTTTGCTAAAAAAATACTTAATATGAATGAATTATTTTCCTAAATTATGTGATAATTCTTTAAAAAAAAAATATTGTACATACTAGCGTATGTTCATCATATTGCCTCATGTCATCTTGCTATTTTGTGCAATCCCAGGGAGCAGAAAGCAGGTGCAGGGAACAAATTTATCAGCAGAAACAAACCAAGGGTTAGATGGGGGTAGAAAAGAAATAAACAGAAAAGCTTATGCAAATCATATAATAGTTTTACTTTATCTTTGCTTAACTTCTTAATTAGATATTCATTAGGTTATATATATATTTTTTTTTTGTTTCAAATTTAAGATTTTTCTTAATTTTTCTCTAATTAAAACTTTATAAATTTTTGGAAAAAAATTTAACAGTACTGTGTTTATCAATTTTAATCTTGTGTTCTTTTTATAATTTCTAAAACTTTTTAGTGACAGAAAAAAATTAATCTTGTAAAATGTGTAGGTACTAATAATATAAAGTAAATATAATTTACAATGCAATATTATATAAATTAATTACAGTTTAATAATCAATTAATGGTTATTATTAAGGAACAAACAATTTTATTAAATTTTATAGATCAGTTACAATTATTAGCATTTAATCAAAGTTTATATTAATGGGGAGAAAAGTTAGTGTAATCACTATTTTTTTTATTTTTCAAGAAATAATGTTACTTAAAATATATATTTGTATTGTGCATGAATGTAAATCTGAAGTAAAAATTGAAATAAATATTCAAAAATTTTATTTATTTTTGTTTTATAAATTTACTATAACAGATTGGTGAATACAGATTATTAAATGTTAGGCTATTCTATACATTAAATCTAAGAAACAAAAAAAAATTTAAAAGATTAATAATTGGACAAACATTATATTAAAAATACTGAATTTGATTAAATCTTTCTCAACAGAAATTATTTGTTCTCACAATACTAAACCAGCCAACAATTTTCCATATATAAGTCGACCCCCTATAACACTGTTGATAATTCCATTTTATATGAATTCCATGTTATACGAGTCACTTAGATTTTACAAATACGTGAGCCGTTCACAGCCCGGCACACGTAAAATCTAAGTGACTCGTATAACATGGAATTCATGTAACATGGAATTATCAACAGTGTTATAGGGGGGGGTGACTGTATTGAATATTGATAGTAAAAGGTTAAAGAGTAATAAATAAAAATGAAAAAAAAATCTGAATTATATCCTTAATAATAATAACTAATGTATGGAAGTATATAATAATTAATGATGTCATAAAAAATGTTTGGTCTTGTGATTAAGTCAGTTAAATTACAAATTTGCACAATTTCAAATGTTTCAGAATTTTCTAAGATCCATTCTGTAACTATAATTTTAAAAATTTTTAAAAACATTAAAAACTCATGTTAATTTCAGTCTTGTACTTTAACTATAAAAACACAGGATCAATTAGAATTTTTTTAAGTTTGAAGATTTTATTTAATTTATTACTGTAACTATTAAAAAGTAATGTTTTCTTTTGCTCTTTTATTCAATTTCAGTAATTAATTTTTTCTACATATTTTTAAAAATAGGAATGAGCATTTTCTGAAAAAACAAAAATATATGTATATTGACTTTAATTTATCATTAAAGCTGCTTTTGTTCATTTGAATTTCTTAATGTAGTTGAATGAATGATAATTAGTTATTTAATAACAAATTTAGTAATAAAATATGATCTAATTATTAAAGCTATATAAAATTTCAAAACAGGCAATATACTTTGATTTATTAGAATATTTTATAAATATCAATATAAATCACAAATGGAATATAGTGTTATTCACACATGTTGGTCTTTTAATCTGTCACTAACAAGTCACTTTCATTAATCTGTTTTAAGCTTAACTTAATATATTTTAATTTAGTTAATCAATAATGATTGATAGTAGGGTTACCATAACAATTAAAGGCAAAATACAGACAGATTAGCATTAAAAGTACTTAGAAACTGAGGCAAAATAAAAGAAATTTATTCATTTTTCTCAATCTAATAAATGTAGGCATATAATGCAAAGTTTCAATTTACACTTTCTTCTGGGGCACAGAATGCAATTTTATATATAAGAAAATTATTTTACCACTTAGACAACAAGTACTATAAAATTAAAAAGAATCATTATAATGAATGCACATACATTCTCTAAGCAACAGCGCCATTACATTTGCTTACACAATGTTGCCACCTAGCCTGCATATACAATAATAATCATCAAAAATTTAGCATCTTTTGTCAGATTTAAATCCAAGTAGTTATGATTTAACTATTAACTGCACGATCAGTTAAAAAGTATGGACTGTTTATTTTTTTCTAAGTATTGTACAGACACAGACAGAGTCTTTAAAGTACAAACTATCCATACCAAATATGGACATATGGTAACCCTATCGATAGCATCCAAGTTTTATTATTCCCTATCGATATGAAGAATATCTGTTCCACTGACAAATCCAGAAAGTTCTTATAAAAGAGAAAGATTTAATTATGATATATTATTAATAAAAAGACTCACAAACACCAGGAAAACAATCATTCAAACCTATCTAAAAATCATACTGCAACATATCGTAATCTTTGTGTGGAATTAATTTTATTTTTATTGTAAATTATTATTTAATTTATTAATAATTAATTTACTTTAGCTTTGTTAAAAATTTTAGTTTAAAATTATAATCCTGAATTGAGCAACTCTGTACAAAGTTATCTTCATTTTCACATTTGGGACAGTAATAGCATGAACCAGTGATGAAATTAAACATGAATAAACATACAAGTTATTGTTATATATCATGTAGTATGTATTTATTGTCCATTAACAATTGAATATTAAATGTAATAGTGTAAACTGTGCAATTAGCAAGTGTAGCTGTTCGGACTTGAAAATAATTTTCTTAACATATTAATGTTGGCTGTTCTTGATCACAGGGTTATAAATCAGAGATGGCTGTCCTCATAAAATGTATAATTTCATTGCTGTGTGCCAATAAAGCAAATAAATGATGATACAAATTGCGCAAATTATATAATGATAAATATTTTGTCGTCAATGAAAAAATGCATCTGCAAATTATATGTCACTATGAACAATAGAGAGAAAATTATGATATTTGTACAAAATTAAAGTTTATAGAAATTATTTTTCTCCTTTATTACAGAAAAAACTTCAATAAGAAAAACAAGAGGGGAGAAGAGAAAATTTTAAAACTTGTTTATTTTTAAATTCTTCAATTTTGTATTATGGCTTAAGTACCTTATATAGATAAAAATAAATAAATATAAAAAATATTTTTAATTTAAAAAATTAAAAAACTGCATTGTTTAATTTGAATTTTAAAATAATATGGATAAAATCTAATTACTAAAAATATTGCTTAAAAAGTGATTTTCTAAAAAGTAATTAGAAATATTCTAATTACTTACAATCTATATTAACAATTCAATTAAGAAGTTAAGCAAAATTCATTGAAAGCAATAATAAAATGGCAAATGAAATCATAAGTAAACAAGCAGTAATTAATATAGAATTACTAATCATTTAATAAAAAATTTATTTTTCATGCTAATGTATAAAATTGTAATTCTAAAATAAAAAATTTAATTAAATTTAATATTTTATTAAAAATAATAAAATGAATATAAGAATAATAAATAAAAGGAT